TATAGGAGTGCGACACTATGCCCGGATAATTTTTGCATTTTTAGTAGCGATGGGGTTTCACCATGTTGGCCAGGCTGGTCTGGAACTCCTGACCTCAGATGATCCACCTCTGCTTCAGCCTCCCAAAGTGCTGGGATTACAGGCGTGAGCCACCACGCCCTGCCTGTTGTTTTAAGAGACAGGGCTTGCTTTATTGCCCAGGCTGGAGTGAACTAGTGAGATCACTGCAGCCTCGAACTCCCTAGGCTCAAATGATCCTCCCACCTTAGCCTCCTGAGTGGCTGGGACTACAGGAATGCACCACCATGCCTGGCTAATTTATTTTTATTTTTTGTAGAGATGGCGGTGTGTGTGGGGAGTGTCTCGTTATGTTGCCCAGGCTGGTCTTGAACTCTTGGCCTCAAGCAACCCTCCCGCCTCAGCCTCCCAAAATGCTGAGATTACAGGCTTGAGCCACAGTTCCTAGCCCCAAGGTCTGTTTTTATTTTGTTGAATTTTCATAATCTAGTAAAGTACATGCTCAAATATCATTCAAATGTGGAATGAATTAATAAAAGGCAACACATACTGAGCACTTCATTATGTGCCAGGAATTGTTTCAAGTGTTTCATTTCACATTTACTGGCCCATTTAATATTCACAGCATGAGGTGGGTATTATCATGATCATTACCATCTTCATTTACTTTCTTTTTTCTGAACACCAGTGTCACTTGCCATTTCATTTAGCAATGAGGTAACTGAAGCACAGAGAGGTTCAGTAACTTGCTTAAGGTTACACGGCTGGTAACTAGAGGAGCTGGGAGTTGAACTCTGGCAGTCTTGTGCCACAGGATGTTACTGGTGCTGCTCTATTTTTGCTTATCTTAATCATTAACATACATCCAGAATTAGACTTTTTATTATGAACAATTTCTTTTTTTTTTTTTTTTTGAGACGGAGTTTCGCTCTTGTTACCCAGGCTGGAGTGCAATGGCGCGATCTCGGCTCACCGCAACCTCCTCCTCCTGGGTTCAGGCAATTCTCCTGCCTCAGCCTCCTGAGTAGCTGGGATTACAGGCACACGCCACCACGCCCAGCTAGTTTTTTGTATTTTTAGTAGAGACGGGGTTTCACCATGTTGACCAGGATGGTCTCGATCTCTCGACCTCGTGATCCACCCGCCTCGGCCTCCCAAAGTGCTGGGATTACAGGCTTGAGCCACCGCGCCCGGCCTATTATGAACAATTTCAAACATAAAAAAGTAGAGAAAATAGGCTGGGCATGGTGGCTCACACCTGTAATCTCAGCACTTTGGGAGGCCAAGGTGAACAGATCACTTGAGGTGAGGAGTTCGAGACCAGCCTGGCCAAGCTGCTGAAAACCCGTCTCAACTAAAAATACAAAAATTAGCCAGCATGCGCCTATAATCTCAGCTACTCAGGCAGCTGAGGCAGAAGAACTGCTTGAACCTGTTAGGTGGAGGTTGCAGTGAGCTGAAATTGCACCACCGCACTACAGCCTGGGTGACTGAGCGAGACTCCGTCTCGAATAAGGAAAAGTAAAGTAGAGAAAATAATGTAAAGAACTTAACGTCCTCATCACACAGCTTCAATAATTATCACCTCATGGCCCATCTTATTATGTCTCTATTGTTCCCAGCCCAGATTATTTGAAGCAAATGCAGTCACTGTATCATTTCATCCACAGATATTTTAGTATATATGTCTGAAAGGAGGACTTTTTATTTATTTATTTATTTATTTATTTATTTATTTATTTATTTATTTTGTTGAGATGGAGTTTCGCTCTTGTTACCCAGGCTGGAGTGCAATGGCACGATCTCGGCTCACCACAACCTCTGCCTCCTGGGTTCAGGCAATTCTCCTGCCTCAGCCTCCTGAGTAGCTGGGATTACAGGCACGTGCCACCATGCCCAGCTAATTTTTTGTATTTTTAGTAGAGACTGGGTTTCACCATGTTGACCAGGATGGTCTCGATCTCTTGACCTTGGGAGCCACCCGCCTCGGCCTCCCAAAGTGCTGGGATTACAGGCTTGAGCCACCGCGCCCGGCCCAGGAGGACTTTTTAAATTAAAAAAAAAAACTTACTACAATTCTATTTCATGCCTAAACATTTAGAATTCCTTAATATCATTGAATACCTTGTCAGTATTCAAATTTGCCTGATAATAAAATCTTTTTATTTATTTATTTTTTTTTCTTTTGAGACAGAGCCTCACTCTGTCACCCAGACTGGAGTGCAACAGTGCAATCTTGGCTCACTGTAACCTCTGCCTCCCGGGTTCAAGTTATTCTCCTGCCTCAGCCTCCCGAGTAGCTGGGATTACAGGTGCCTACTTCCACACCCGGATAGTTTTTATAGTTTTAGTAAAGACGGAGTTTCACCATGTTGGCCAGGCTGGTCTTGAACTCCTGACCTCAGGTGATCTGCCCATCTCCGCCTCCCAAAGTGCTGTGTTTACAGGCATGCACCACTGCATCTGGCCTTTTCTTTCTTTCTCTCTCTCTCTCTTTCTTTCTTTTTTTCCTGAGACAGAGTCTCACTCTACTGCCCAGGCTGGAGAGAAGTGGCCTGATCTCAGCCTACTGCAACCTCTGCCTCCCAGGTTCAGTGATTCGTCTGCCTCAGCTGCCCGAGTAGCTGGGAGTACAGGTGCAGGCCAGTACACCCAGCTAATTGTTTTTGTATTTTTAGTAGAGACAGGGTTTCACCATGTTGGCCAGGCTGGTCTTGAACTCCTGACCTCATGATCTGCCTGTCTTGGCCTCCCAAAGTGCTGGAATTACAGGTGTGAGTCACCATACCTGGCCCCAATTTTGTTAAGGGAATTCGGTATTTGTCCTAATTTTCTTCATTCTAGATTTTGCTGACTATATCCCTGGGGAATGTGTCTTCTGGTATTTTGTGTCCTTATCTTTTCATATAACTTAGCAAACATTTCCCCATACTGCCACAGGGTTTTCACAATCTGTCCTAAATGGCTTCATACTATTCTATCCAGCAGAGAGAGATACTGTAATTTTTTTCTTGTGCATTTAGGTTGCTTTCAGTTTTTCACTAACTATAAATATTGCTGGAATGAACATCCTGACACATTGCAGCTTTTCCTGTACATGGGATAACTTCCTTAGAATATGCTACCCGAAGTGTAATTATGGTTCTGAGGCATGAAGAATTTTTCAGCTTCTTGGCACACAGTGACAATTGTTTGTCCAAGAGTTTGTGTGTCTCCCAGCACCAAATAAGAGAGCTGTCACTCACTCTGAATAGTGCTTAGGGCTGTTCACAGCTGAAGGATGTTTAGGGAAGACATGGTAATTATGAGGGCAACGAGTTAGAGAAGGAGAAAAATGATGACAGGGACTCCAGCTAAATAAAGCAGAAAGTGATCTGTAATTTACCACAAACCTACAGTGAGTCAGAACTCTGCTCATTCCTATTGCGGAAAAAAAAATCTTTGATAAAAGGAGTTATTAATAGTGCATGACATGTCCAGTAATCTTTCTGTTAGACTGTACATTAGTCAGAACCTTATTTGAGACGTGGTCTCAGTCTGGGTCACCGAACTTCATAGAGATGTCAAGAAACTGATCAAGACCCAGAGGGCTCGATCAACCTGATGGAGGATGAAGAATCCCAGAGAAAAATAAAAACAGTCCAGCAGGCTCACTTTGGAAAATATAGACACACCTTCTTGCCTTAATGCTGGGGAGGTTTCCGTGAAAAGAACAACACTGGGTTTGCTTATGTCTGCAGAAAGATGACTATAAGGAAAGGCACCTCCACAAACCAAGAAAAACTTCCTTAGGACATAGGCAGAGCTATTTCAGACTCGGGAGATTATTTCGATCTTGGGATGAACTCTTCTGGGGCCATTGGCCCTGGGAATATTCAAGAAGCTGCCTGTTCTGCTCTGGGTGGTTCAAATACCCACCTGCCTGGTAACCACTAAGTGCCTCTGGGGGTCCCACTCCAGTTATGTGACAACTGTTTCCTGGCAGCCCCCTGGGGAAGGAAGGGTAGGTGGAGTCCAAGTGAAGTGCTCCCCAGTTTTCCTGGGCTAGCCTCTTCCTTCCTGTTTCACTCCAGGGTGCCACGAACTGCCATTCAGAGTCGGGCTGGCAAGCCATGATGACATAATCTGATCTTGCTATTCCAGCCCTGCCCTGCATAGAGTGGACTTAGAGAGAAGCTGGGGAGGGAGTTGAAACTACCCAGACAAGGCCTCTTGGTGACATGGAGAATGGGAGTGACCGAGGAGACCTCAAGGGCCATTTAGTTCAACCTCCCACAGTGATATTAAATAAATTCCTACAATGCAACAAGTGCTTTACATGCATTTTTTTGGGTTCCCACAACCTTGGAGGTGGGGTTTCACAGGTGTGAAACTGGAGATTAAGACAAGTAATTTGCCCAGGGTCACACTGCCAATAAAGGGGGGGCCTACCCTATGTCGACCAGGCAGTAAAATCTGTGCCCTTGCCTTTAGAGGATGCAGATGTGAAAACTGCAGACCAGAGCCTCTCATTCAAAACCACACAAGCTGACCTGAGACAGAAACTCAGGCTCCTTACTACTGATCAAGGAATCTATGATACGTGGCCTCTTCTGACGTCAGGTGCGGGGCGGCCAAGGATGTGGCCCCGTCCCGGGCAGCCTGGGCCAAGCATGACTGAGAAGAAGGCAGACCCTCAGCCAATGTGAAAAGCGCGCTGCCAGGAGGGCCCGGCAGGGCAAAGGGCCGAGCCAGTCCGCTTCTGGAGGAGCCAATCTGGGGCCAGGGCGGAGGCAGCCAAGAGCAGTGGAAAAACCCTGCACTTGGGGTCAGAATATCTGGGTTTCGATCCAGTCTGGGACCCAGCAAAGACTTACAGCAAGGAGTCTTTGCTGACTTACAAGTTGGAGTCTCCTCATCTGCAAAACTGGGGCAAGGATAAAATACACTTGAAAGGCACAGAAGCAAAAGTTGGAATTGTTACGCACCAAAGTTCTATCATGCGATCTGACCGTTGCGTCACGGTGCAACTTCCAACAGTGCGGCCCCGGAGAGACCGGGAAAGGAGCCCGGAAAAACTACAACTCCCAGGAGGCGTCGGGCGGGCCGGCGCGAGGTGATGACGTCACGCGGCCGGCGCGGAGCTCTGATTCGGCCGGAGCTGCCAGCGGAGAGGCTGCCGCCGCGGGTTGTTACAGCTGCTGGAGCAGCGGCGGCCCCCGCTCCCGGGAACCGTTCCCGGGCCCTCGATCTCCTTCCCTGCACGGTGAGCCCAGACAGAACCAGGGGACCCCAGGGCTAGAGGAGGGGCGGGAGAGAAGGTGGGGGCTGCTAGGGAGGCGCCCTGGGCTGGACAGACCCTGGCAGAGTGAGTGGAGGTAGAGGGAGTGCATCAACCGAGGGGGTGCAGCGTCTGGGGAGGTGGCCAAGGAAGAAAGTACGAGCCGCAGGCCGGTGGTAGAACGTCGGGGAGGAGCGGTTCGGCTAGGGGTGGGAGGCGGGGAGAGGCTGGGCTTCGGGGGTAAAGGTTTGGCTGCTTGCAGAGCTGGGTGAACCCGTGGAGGTGACGGTGGGGTCCCGGACTCGGCCGGGTTCCGTGTGCGAGGTCCCAGGCTGGGGAACAGAGCAGGACCCTTCCCCCCGGCCCCCAGCCAGAGGTCTCACTCAGAAAACCCTAACAACAGTGAGGACTCCGCCCCTTCGCTCCTCCTCTTCTCGGCTTAGTGTGGGTTCGCCTTAGCACAAGCTTTCCGCTCCCACCGCCCTCCCCCAGTCGGGATGGCTGGGCCAAAGTTGAGAGGTGATCGGCTGCGGTCCTGCGGCTTGCCGGGTGGGCGGAATGGAAATGGCATTGTGATGTGCTGCCACGGACTCCCGGTTGGGGGTCCCCATCCAGTCCTGGATGTTTTGTGCTCCTCATCCAGAAGTCAGGAGGTTTGCTGTTGTAAGGGCTGCTCTTTTCTGGGGGAGGGAATGAGAAGGGCTCACCTGGTGGCTGGTCTGGGGCACGGTCAGCCTTGGCTTGAGTGTCTGGCATACTGGCTGGGCCCGGATATTTGCGTGTGGAGCCAAGGGGGTGGGGAGGGAAGGAGGGGAAAAGAGCTACCAGCAAAAAAAAAGTGGTTAATAGAACAGAGTTGCTGCAGGCTCTGGTTTGAGGCAGGTTATGAAACCACATCAGGACCTGGCACTAGCAGCCACCTGCCAGCTATGGCAGCAGAACTTTTCAGCTCAGCTGCTGTAGACCGCTGCCAGCCTCCTCTCTGTTTCTCCTCATCTAGGGGAGGGGTCACTTGGTCGTTTTGCTAATGGAAGTGATGTGTGCCCATAGTCACACGCAAGTCTCGAGTGTTTTTTGGCTGCCAGTCCTTTTCTTAGTTTGTTGATCTCTTTTTTTCAGGGGTCTCTGGTGGTTTTCTGCTCTCAGGGCACCTAGTGTTTAGGCTTCAGGAAGAAGCGTCTGAGGGTGTCGGCTAGGACCTAAGTCTGCGCTTTTCCTAGGCTTGTCAAGTTTTGTTGGCTGCCCTGTGAAAGCCGGAAAGGGGTATGGGGTCTTGTGATCTGGGATTCCACTAGGCTTTTGGCACTCCGGGACAAATACTAGGAAGGGTTAGTGCTTTCTACACCAACAACCCGTAGAGGTGGGTAACAGAGAGGTGATGGGGTGGCAGTTTCCCCAGGTCAGGCTTGGGAAACTCTCCCTCTCCTTAATCAGAGGTAAGTCCTTCAGATCCTTCACTTATCAGCTACATGTTGCCCTCCCTTCTAAGGTGAAGGCTTTTGTGTAGCTGTCCCAGGGGCTGCTAGAGTAATGGAAGCCCCGAGGCCCTGGGAAGGTAAACAGGGCCAGCTCTGGCTTTTTAGATCCTTGGATTTCTGTGAGGCTCAATTACCCAGCCCAATGGGCTGTGCTGATAGGTCCCAGGAGGGTCACTTCACCCAGAACGCACAGCAGGCAGGCTCAGAGGTGTTTGCTTGTTGGGGTGGTGTGCTGTGGGTCACATTTTCCCTGAGGTCTCTAAGCGTGGGGCTGTCTGAGAAGAGGACACTTGCTCCTCTTATCCTGGAAGTAAAGAACTGACCCCTGAGGATTCAGGCTCCTATGCAGATTTGGCTAGGATCCTATCAGAGATAGATGGCATCTGGGACTGAGGGGTTGCCGCAGGGGCGTGAGGGAGTTGGCTTTCTGGGTACTTCTAGAATGTCTCCATCTGGGACTCTTCTGCATTCCCAGGAAAGATGTTGCTGTTACCATGGTGAGGACCTTATGGTCTTTAGCAGGCGGGACCCTACCTCAGATAGGGAGGTGAGCCAGTACACAGGCACCATCTGTTCCACCTTCTCCTGATCACAGGTCTCTCAGGGATCTGGGGACAGCCAAGCTCTGGACAAGGGGCAGATCATTCCCCTCCCTTCCTTCTCTACTTGCCCCTGCCCACTGTGGGTTGTGGCCACCTCCTGGTTCCTCCTGCCACAGGCCTCCTACTGTTGGCGCTGGACAGGGGAAGGCATGAGCTAAGGTACACCTGGAAACAGGTGCTGAGGGAGACTGAGGTGAGGATGGGCAGGACAGAGAGGAACGGGGACAGGAGGAAGGCCACAGGTTCGGGTCTGTGCCCTTGGGACGCATATGTTGATGCGGGTTCCAGCTCTCCGTGGGAGCTCTAGGTATTGGCCACGTTCTCTGTCCTCACCCCTCTTGTGGGGAAAAGGGCCCTGGTGGTTTGGCAGCAGAGTTGGCATCGCAAGGGCTGGCCTGAGTGGCTGCCAAATGGAGAAAACATCTGGATGGGTTGTTTTGTGTCACCAGAAGGGGCACCTTCCAGGTCTGGGCAGAGGTTGTCCCTAGTCTGTTGTTTTCGCATTTCTTCCCTCCCCTGTTCCCTTTTTTTTACCGAATCAGTCCTCCTAAGTTAGGGTTTGGGGAGATCCAGAATTGAAAATATTAGAGGAGGTGAGTGGAAGCAGTGACCTCCAAATAGTTCATCCACTGCTGCCTGTACCCGTAGACCCCACTTCTTTTCCCTCCTGATGGGAAGGGCTTCAGAGGAGACATCCCAAATCAGACCCTCGTGAGAGGAAGTCCAGCAGGGGTCATGCTGAGTGAGAACTCTCTCCTGGGGCCTTTGTCAGCAGAGGGCCCTCATGGGAATGCTGTAAGGGGTGAGGCTGGGAGGTGGGCCTTGCCTTCTCTGTTCTGGGGCTGCATGCCTCTTGATGACCTGTCCTCCAAAGCCCTGCCAGGCCTCTGTCCCAATGGGGTGATGCATGGGGCAGCCTGGGGTTTATCCCAGCCCAGCAGCAGGAAATGAGTAGAGCTAAGTCCATGTGGATTTTTTCTACTTTCCATGCTTGAGAATCAAAAGAGTGGAACTGTGTGGAGTTCTCAGGGAAAGAAGGACCTGCCTTCCAGCGGATCGGAGGGTGAGAGGGGGCAGGGAAAGCCATGTGACCTGTCTGACCTGTGCTGCTTGTTTGCAGAACAGCGGAGAGGGGCGGCAGGATGAATGTGGGCACAGCGCACAGCGAGGTGAACCCCAACACACGAGTGATGAACAGCCGTGGCATCTGGCTCTCTTACGTGCTGGCCATCGGGCTCCTCCACGTCGTGCTGCTGAGCATCCCCTTCGTGAGTGTCCCTGTCGTCTGGACTCTCACCAACCTCATCCACAACATGGTGAGAGCCGGCCTGCTGCCTGCCTCTGCCCTGTGGGCTGCTCTTTGGCAGGGGTGAGGGATAGGAGGAGCCTGCTGGGCCTGGCCCAGATGTCAGGGTGAGGTACTGACAACATCTGCTCCAGAGCCCAGGCCCAGCCCATATCTCTCTGCCTTGCTCCCCTGTGCACGACGATAGGAATCAAATCTGCAGATTTGTCCACATCGCCAGGGTGGGGTGGCTGTGGATCTGGAAGATGCATCCCTGAGAGCTGAACAAAGGGCTCCAGAGAGTTCCCAGGACCCGGGAGTCCTGGTGCCTAGGCTGGGGCAGAAATGCTCTTTTCTCAAGTTTCCTTCTCGAGCCATCTTCCACTCTTGCCCTTCTCTGCTCCCTCACCACTTGCTCCTTTGCACTCTTTGGCTGGTAAGCAGGGGTTAGTCCCGTCAGCTTGCCTCCTCCCAGCTGGCACAGGGAGGTTATGAGTGGCCTGGAGGGGCGGCATCTCTGTGCCTGTCTTGTGGCCAGCTCCCCCAATGCGTTCTCATGCCAAGCCTAGCCTGTCCCCCTGGGTCCCCTTTTTCTTCTCCTGGCAGTCTCCCAGCTGCTCCATCCTGACCTCCAGCCCATATCTGCCTACCCAGCACAGGGAGGCCCCAGATCACTGGGAGTTACTTCTGTCTGTGACTGGGTGTAGGAGCTGGGCTGGAGGGCCTTTTGCCTTTTATAGCCTCCAACAAAGACGTCTTCCTCCAGGGCATGTATATCTTCCTGCACACGGTGAAGGGGACGCCCTTTGAGACCCCGGACCAGGGCAAGGCGAGGTTGCTCACTCACTGGGAGCAGATGGACTATGGGGTCCAGTTCACGGCCTCTCGGAAGTTCTTGACCATCACACCCATCGTGCTGTGAGTGCCTGTGCTTCAGGAAGACACCAGCAGGCAGGGCAAGGCCGGGAGGACCCTGGGGCCCAGCCGTGCTTATTAACCCTGCTCTGGCTGCTGGTGTTGGGATGAACAGAGGAAGTTGGAATATTCCTGGGTCTTACACTAGGTTCAGGCTTTGGACTCTCTGGCCCCGAGTTTCCTTCGTTAGAGCCTCCTTCCCGCTAGTGAGATAGGCCCACAGGCTTGGGGTGAAGTTGGGAGGGAGGTTGGCGCTGGTCCAGGAGGGGCCTCTTTAGCCTGAGATCTCTTGCTTCTTACTCTGGCCTGGAGACCTCTTCTGTAACTCTTTGGCTGTCAGGATTCTGCCTTCCCGCACCCAGGAAGTGAGGGGGGAAGGGGTCCTCCCAGCAGTCTTTTCGTTGTTGTTGTTGTTGAGATGGAGTTTCGCTCTTGTTACCCAGGCTGGAGTGCAGTGGCACGATCTTGGCCCACTACAACCTCCGCCTCCCAGGTTCAAGCAATTCTCCTGCCTCAGCCTCCTGAGTAGCTGGGATAACAGGCACGCACCGCCATGCCCGGCTCATTTTGTATTTTAAGTAGAGACGGGGTTTCACCATGTTGGACAGGCTGGTTTCGAACTCCTGACCTCAAGTGATCCACCCGCCTCGGCCTCCCAAAGTGCTGGGATTACAGTCTTGAGCCACCGCGCCCGGCCCAACAGTCTTTTTTATCTCTCCCCACCCTTCCCCTCCCAGGTACTTCCTCACCAGCTTCTACACCAAGTACGATCAGATCCATTTCATCCTCAACACCGTGTCCCTGATGAGCGTGCTCATCCCCAAGCTGCCCCAGCTCCACGGAGTCCGGATTTTTGGAATCAATAAGTACTGAGGGTGCGGCCCCTTCCTCTGCCCAGGGTGACAGGGGAGGGGTAGGGGAAAAGGCCTGCGCTGCGACACTGAAGACAGGAAGAAGGAGCCTCTGGACACTGTCGAGGTGGGGGTTGAGCCTCTGGGCCTAGTTTCCCCCCTCGCTTCCCCCAGTAGCCAACTTGGAGTAGCTTGTAGTGGGGTTGGGGCGGGGCCCCTTGGGCTCTGACCTTTTCTGAATTTTTTGATCTTTTCCTTTTGCTTTTTGAATAGAGACTCCATGGGGGTGGTCACAGAATCGGCTGGGCTCCTGGGCTGAACACGGACCATGCATTGGGACAGGAGGCGGGGGTGGGGTGGGGGAAACCCCTGCTCACTTGTTTCAGGCAGCCAAAGCACTTTAACCCCTGCGTAAGGAGCAGAGGGCGGTACGGCTTCTGGATTGTGTCACTGTAATCCTGAGGTCTTTTCGATGACACGCAGTGTGTGCTTGTGTGTGTGAAAGCAAGCGTGGGACGGGGCCTTGCCCTTCTGGGCAGAGAGCTGTCTAATCCGAGTCTCGGGCTTTCACCAGTTTCCCTGCAACCCACCGTGGGTCCTGGTTGGGAGTGGGGAGGGTCAGGTAGGGGGAAGATGGGGTGGAGTGTGGATGGCTTGGTCCCAGAGGTGAGGGGGCCAGGGCTGCTGCCATCCTGGCCTGGTAGAGGTTGGGGAGCTGCAGGGGTGATAGGGAGTGGAGACTTAGAAGAATGGGGCCACAGAGCAGCAGAGCACTGATGTAAGGGAGGGAGGGGTGGGGACAGAAGCTAGATCCAGTCTTCTTTGGGATGTGGGCAGGGAGGGAAGCAGGCTTGGAGGGTTAGTTTACCCACAGAATGTGATGGTAATAGGGGAAGGAGGCTGCTGTGGGCTTAACTCCTGAGTTGGCTGTTGGGTGGACAGGTGGGGAAGAGGCCCGTGGGTCATTGTTAGTACAGGTCCAACTTGGCTCTGACTTCTGCAGGGTACAGGGAAGCTGTGACAAACGATGGCTGCTGTGGTCCTCTGCAGGCCCTCACCCCTTAACCGCCTCGTGTAGGCTGGCACTGGCAGGGCCTCTCGTGTGGCAGGCACATGTGGTGCTGTGAGGCCACCCCACGTGGGGTCAGTGGCGAGAGTCCTGTAGGACCTTTGGTCAAGCAGCACAGGGGAAGGAGCCAGGCGTGGCCTATAGGCGCTGTCTCAGCCTGCAGAGAAGAAAGTGAGGCCGGGAGCCTGAGCCTGGGCTGGAGCCTTCTCCCTTCCCCTGGCTGACTAAGGGCCGCGTTAATTCTGAAAAGGCGTGGGTGCCTGTATCCTCTTCCAGGGGCCCGGGGGAGCAGGAGAGGTCACTGGCCCTGTTTTCTGCCTCCTGGCCCTGCATCTCCCACCCCATGTATCATAGGGAACTTTCACCTTAAAATCTTTCTAAGCAACATGTGAATAGGATTTTTACTCCCTTTGTACAGTATTCTGAGAAACGCAAATAAAAGGGCAACATGTTCCTGTTTCCCTGTGTCTGGCCTCTGCTTCCTGGAAGGCTGAGGGGTGGGGGCAGGGGTGTGGGCAGAGCGCCTGCTGAGGCGCTGGTGGGACATCAGTGCAGCTCTGATGGTGGCAGGAGGGGCTCCGGGACTGCTGGGCTTTGTGCTGCTTTCAGCAGGGAAATCCCCCAAGGGGGCTGCGAGGGAGCTGACAGTGGCGGCAGTGGTCAGAGAGCAAAATTCTCTGTGCTTTTGCCTGGCTGTTCTCTGACAGGTCTTGTACGTTGGCTCCACAGGCTGGGGTGACTTGTGCCATGGCCAGGGAGGGGGCAATCCAGCAATGGTTTACACCTGGAGCCAGGGTCCCAAGCGGTGCCCACACCTTCCCGATGAGTCCCCCAGTCCTTCTCCAGTTTCTCACTTCTCTCTCCTAGGCCTTTCCCCAGTCATGTCTCCCCTGGGAGTGCTGCATTTCCTTCTGACCTTTCAGTGTAGGGAGTTTTCATGCTTCCTCCTCCCACCATAAGCCTGAGTGACAGGGGAAGAGGTAACCCCTGGGGACTTTCCAAGGCCAACACGGCTAAGAGAGAGAGGAGTCTTATAGCAAGGAATCCTTATCTCCCTAGGGCACTGACCGTCCAGCATATTGTGGGCAGTATCAGCTGCTATTCTCAGGACAGGCACAAAGTCCCAGGTAGAAGGGAGGAGCTGCCCCATGTCTGGCCCTGGTCCAGTATCACGGCACCCTTGGAGTGAGTATCAGGAAGAGTGTGGGGTATGTGCCCAAGTCCAGCTACCACCCGTCTCTGAGTAGGGCCCACACAGTACTGGGAAGAGAAACATGGCTGCTGCTCTCACTCCTGGGAGTAGGGGTGCCCTGGATGCTTTCACCAGCCTGCAAGAGTACAGTCAGGGTGAGATACTGGAGAACATCCACAATGATCTGGGTTCAAATCCCAGCTCTGCAACTTATTAGCTATTTTGTTTTGTCAACTTTTCTGAGCTTCAGTTGCTTCCGCTGATGTGTAAGGATAATGCCTGTTAGGGCCGTCGTGAGCGTTAGCGCAGTCCTGGCATATAGTAAATAATGTATGGTAGCCATATTATTATTATTGTAATTGTTACCACCACCTCTGTTGTCTGTCTGTTTATTTATTTATTATTTATTTGTTTATTGCCACCCAGGCTAGAGTGCAGCGGTGTGCTCTTGGCTCACAGCAACCTCCGCCTCCCAGGTTCAAGCGATTCTCCTGCCTCAGCCTCCTAACTAGCTGGGATTACAGGTGTGCGCCACCACATCTGGCTGATTTTGTGTGTGTGTGTGTGTGTGTGTGTGTGTGTGTATGTAGAGATGGGGTTTCACCATGGTGACCAGGCTGGTCCTTGAACTTCTGGCCTCAAGTGATCTTCCCACCTTGGCCTCCCAAAGTGCTGTGATTATAGGCAGAGCCACTGTCCCTGGCCTCTGTCATCTCTTTAAATGTTCTTTCAGAACTGAGGCATGCAAAGGCTGGAAGACAGGCTGGGCTCACCCGGGTGTTTATCTCTGAGAGAGGACATGGGTGAGGCCAGAGGCCTCTCTCCCTGGAGAAGGAAGTAGGTGGAGAAGGTGGGTGGCATCCAGATAAGGAAGACCAGCATGTGTACACGGGAGCACGGGATGGGGAGGGAGGCTGAGTGCTCCTTACAGGCCCACCCTGTTCTTTCCAGGTGTTAGCTGCTGTTATCCTGGGTCTTCACTGTGGACCACAGCATGGCATTTGGGCAGCTGGTTCTGCTGGGTTACTGTCCACATGTCCTAGGCATGGCCATAGCCATTGCCTGCTGGCACTTGATACCCACCCATATTTGATTTCTCTATTCCAAATACACGGGATTGCATGGCCTAGCGTGCCGTGGTTTGCCCCATTGTCTGGCTCAAACTCACCTAAAATACATATCAGGATCTTCTACCCACTCCTTGGGTCCAAGAAGGAGTTCTGGCCTTATCTGCCTCTAGATCAGTTATAAGGTGGCTTATCTAAAGGCTTGGGAAATGGGGCGCCCAGCCCTACTCACCTGTCCTTGTACCTGGATAAGTTTCAATTTCATTATTTTAGCTTCCTGAGATTCAGAGGCCAGGAACTGTACAGAGATCTGCAGAGGGGATCCTCACAACTTCCATTTCTGGTGAACAGCTGAGGTCGGAGAGGAGGTGGGTGGCACCTGAGATGGGCACCCTTTCTAGACACCTAAAATTCTCAGGTTAGTAGTGAATTGAGGGTCAACCACCATGAAGGGGGCAGAGACAAGAGAAGGGAACCGTGAGTGGATAAATGCCTGGGTCAGGCAGAAGGGATGTAGGTAACATGGCCAGAGGCAGGATGGGGAAGCGGATCCCAGGAAGCTTTTGTTTCTTCTGAGGCTGACTTACCGCCACCTCATAAATGGTTGGTAGGGAGGCACCCATCCAACTGCCTTGCAGAGTACAGCAAGGCAGATAGCCCAAGAATCGGAGCCAAGGGAAGACGATCAGTTGAGGTTAGTAATGTGAAGTCTGGCAGCCATTCCCGTCGTCCCTCCCTGGTTCCTCTGTTCATCAACGTTGGGGTGGGTGTGGCTGGGGCATGGTGGGCCTGCCTTTTCATCCCTCAGCCCCTTGGAAGAAGGGGACAACTCTGCTGTGGGAGATGTAGAAAATGGGTCTCACTTTCCCTATTTGGGGTAATAGCTGCTACTTTTTCCCTCCAGATGGGTTCCATGAGGGGTAGAGGAGAATCTGGGATCTGTGATGTTTACCCCTCTTGACTGAGTCATGGCTGTCTTGCCTTCTAGAAGTAGGGCAAGGAGATCATTCCAGGTCCTGGTTGTCCTGGAACCTTTGGCTCTTCCTTGACCTCAGGCTGCCAAACGTGGAAGGTTTAAATACTTGAACCAATACCCTCCTCCCCAAAACTGAAATTGACTTCTATTTCCCAGTGGTCCAGGCACAATGGTCAGCACATTTGAGGAAATCACAAGAGTTGTAGTTCAGGAAATGGATGCTGGAGGGGGTATGATTGCTGTTAGAAGCCTCTCTGATGCTGGTAGATTACACTGCTTCTGTCTGGTGAGGGAGAAGGAAAGTTTCTTTGGATGCCAGTACTACATGACAGACCTCACCCTCGTGGACATTCTGGAGAAAGAGGAAGGGGACAAGCTATTAGATGAACTGGACTCTGGGCTCCAAGGTCAGTATAAGGTGGATGAGAGGTGTCCAGCTAGGAGGCCCTGACCACTTGTACTCCATCTCCTTCTTAATTCCCCATTGTTATCAACCATATCAACCAATCAGCAACAAAACTGTGGAATTTGTACACATCCACACACCTTAAGAAATGCACAGAAAAGCATGATGGGAGGAGAGTGGGAGAAATGGAGATGTATTTACATTGGAAACCATTCCTGAATGCTCTTCCTTTTCCATTTTTTTCCCTTGTAAAATAATCTACTTTTAATTTAGCTGAGCTCTTCTCATGTATGTATCATTTAAATGGATAAGTAACGAAGGCATTTTGCTGACTGGTTAAGAAAGAATGGCCGGGCGCGGTGGCTCAAGCCTGTAATCCCAGCACTTTGGGAGGCCGAGGCGGGTGGATCACCAGGTCAAGAGATCAAGACCGTCCTGGTCAATATGGTGAAACCCCGTCTCTACTAAAAATACAAAAAAAAGTAGCTGGGCATGGTGGCACATGCCTGTAATCTGAGCTACTCAGGAGGCTGAGGCAGGAGAATTGCCTGAACCCAGGAGGCGGAGGTTACGGTGAGCCGAGATCGCGCCATTGCACTCCAGCCTGGGTAACAAGAGCGAAACTCCGTCTCAAAAAAAAAAAAAAAAAAGAAAAGAAAGAATGCAGGCTTTAGGGCTGGAAGCACCTGGTTTCAAAGCCTGACTCTGCCTCTTATCAGCTAGGTGACCTTTGGAGAAGTTGTTTTATTGCTCTAAGTTTGTTTCCTCATGTGTCAACTCTAGAGGACTGTTGTAAGAATCGAATGAGAATAAATTACATGAATCATTTGTTACAGCGCCTGCCGCAAAAGGAGCACTCAATAAAAGTTGCTCCCACCATCTGGTGGTGGTGATTCTCATTACCCTTTCATGTTCCCTGGATATCATGACTGAAAGGGAAGTTGCTGATGGGCAGAAATCCCTAAGGTATTGAGGGAATTTATGGAAGAGTCAATGATTCCATCCCCCCGCCTCTGATCTCAGTTATTCCTGGGGTACTTGGGTTTCAGAAGCCCCAGGGTAAGTGTTGAGGGTCTCACTTGGAGCCCACACTGAAATATGGTGAGGAGTTCATTATATTTTATAATATGAAAAAATATTTCATAATATGAAAAATGGCAAGGAGGTCATAGCTTAGTCCCCTCTGATACAGTCCATTTTCTAGGGTCCAGCCCTGCAGAGTTCTGTGAGCCCCTCTCTGCTGGTGTGGAGACGAGAAACTGTGGAAATAAAAGACACAAGACACCAAGAAAGAAAAAAACAGAGTTTGTGCCTGGGGGTCCACTGCTAACCAAAGTGCAGAGTCCAGCAGTGGCCCCGAGTGTCTGGACACTCTGACTTTTATTGAGTACAAAGCAGTGGGCAGGGAAGGTAAGGTGAGGTAATGGCAGTCAATGATAGGGTCAGGTAAATCACGTGTCTTGGAGTTAGGGGTCCCAGGACTTTCAAGTAGCTGAGATGAGGAGAAAACCTAATGCATCAGCACTTTTCACGTATTTGTCAGAAATATCAAGGACATTAAGATTTATGTTACTATTATTAATTCTTGTCTTCTAAGAAAAAGAGAAACCGCTGAAGCACAGCATCACATAGAGACAGTTAAGGCCCTGGATGTCTGTGGGGCTGCCTGACAGCCGTCAGGCCTACCAAAAGAGCTTGGGGGAGCGGAGTTTTCTCCTAACTCCCCCGAGGAAGGAGACATCGTGGGCATTTTGGACATCTCCTTCCCTAGCCGGCTAAACAGCGAGCGCTTTCCCAGCACTGCTGCTGCCGCACAGCTG